TTGCCGAGATAATCCATCCACCTCACATGTGTGGCATATCAAGATGCTGATTAGACAGCATGATTATTGCACAGGTGTGCCTTAGGCTGGCCACAATAAAAGGCCACTCTAAAATGTGCAGTTTTACTGTATTGGGGAGTCCGGTGGAGTCCGAAAACTAGTCAATGTCTGGTGTGACCACCATTTGCCTCACGCAGTGCAACACATCTCCTTCGAATAGAGTTGATCAGGTTGTTGATTGTGGCCTGTGGAATGTTGGTCCACTCCTCTTCAATGGCTGTGCGAAGTTGCTGGATATTGGCAGGAACTGGAACACGCTGTCGTATACGCCGATCCAGAGCATCCCAAACATGCTCAATGGGTTACATGTCCGGTGAGTATGCTGGCCATGCAAGAACTGGAATGTTTTCAGCTTCCAGGAATTGTGTACAGATCCTTGCAACGTGGGGCCGTGCATTATCATGCTGCAACATGAGGTGATGGTCGTAGATGAATGGCACAACAATGGGCCTCAGGATCTCGTCATGGTATCTCTGTGCATTCAAAATGCAAACTGTTGGCACGCCCTGCGTTCGTTGTCCATAACATACGCCTGCCCATAACATAACCCCACCGCCACCATGGGCCACTCAATCCACAACGTTGACATCAGCAAACCGCTCACCCACACAACGCCATACACGCTGTCTGCCATCTGCCCTGTACAGTGAAAACCAGGATTAATCCATGAAGAGAACACCTCTCCAAAGTGCCAGACACCATCGAATGTGAGCATTTGCCCACTCAAATCGGTTACAACGACGAACTGCATTCAGGTCGAGACCCCGATGAGGACGACGAGCATGCAGATGAGCTTCCCTGAGACAGTTTCTGACAGTTTGTGCAGAAATTCTTTGGTTATGCAAACCGATTGTTGCAGCAGCTGGTCTCAGACGATCTTGGAGGTGAAGATGCTGGATGTTCGACAGACACAACTTGCGACATCTGTGGCATTGTGCTGTGTGATAAAACTGCACATTTTAGAGTGGCCTTTTATTGTGGCCAGCCTAAGGCACACCTGTGCAATAATCATGCTGTCTAATCAGCATCTTGATATGCCACACCTGTGAGGTGGATGGATTTTCTCGGCAAAGGAGAAGTGCTCACTAACACAGATTTAGACAGATTTGTGAACAATATTTGAGAGAAATAGGCCTTTTGTGTACATAGAAAAAGTCTTAGATCTTTGAGTTCAGCTGATGAAAAATGGGGGCAAAAACAATAGTGTTGCGTTTATCATTTTGTTCAGTGTATATATTATATTATGCATTATAAGTTTAGATTCTAGTAAAGAGAAATTACAGGCCTCGTGGCGTTATTTACAAATGTAGTTACAGGAAGCTGATGAGAACCAAGAGTCTAGTTGTTCATTGTGGGCTTTTCCCGTCTCTCCGCAGCCATCCGCGGCTTCTCTCCACAGCACAAGATCAACAGCTTCGAAGAGGCTAAAGGTCTGGACCGCATCAACGAACGCATGCCACCCCGCAAGGATGGAGTCAACCACGTGGGCCACTCCATGGGCAAGATGAACATGTCCGAGACCAACGGCACTGATGACAACAGTAACATCCAGTGATGAAACGGCTGCCCACTCACCTGCACCTGAGTCCATGCCACCGCCACGACGCATGGCAGGACAAAGCCAAACCCGTGATTTAAGACCTCCTGCTTCTAACAAACACCCTATGATGACATCACCTACACATCCCTCCCTGCTCCAATGTCCAATTACTATCTTTAATGTTTCACTGAAAAGAGGCAGACTGTTTTCTTGCTGTCAGTTTGCCGCTTGCAATTTTCAAAAGCGGATACCTTGCCGACGGCAAGTGTCTGCCTTTTTTGGGAGTGTCGAATGGGAAGGAGGGGTGGGGGGTGATTTGCCTGTGAAGGGCTGAAAGTGTCTTTATCAGAGAGAGGGCGGTCTCCATTCCTTTCTGGCTCTGCCCACATGCCAAGTGGGCAGGGTTTAGGAACTCTCTCTTAAGCCTGATCCATCCAGTTCGTCGGTGCGGGTAACGAGCCCGTACCGGATCCATGCAAACTTTTTTCCTCTTTTGATTGCGAGTTTTTCTTCATGATCCCATCTCATAATGAAATGATCTCACTGTTGATGATATTTTGCTACTAGTATTAATAAATATACAAATTTGAAATGACAAAAAACGAAAAATGTTTGTAAGAAAGGACATTTAACGACGAATACTGTACATGTTATTACTTATGATGCAATCTTACCTGGGGGGTTTTATTTCTTGATTTGGTTTTTGGTAAGATACCATGAAGCAGTAGAGGAGAAGAGCGGTGATGCTTGTCCGCCGTAGACTCGATCAAAGCAACCGTTCGGACGGAGGTAAACCACAGATGGAGCTCAACTTTGGCGCCACCTTCCTGATTGTTTCTCACTTGCCTGTATCTCAAAAGAGAGAATGCACATAGTACATTTCGCAAGTAAAATAAATATATATAAATATATTTAAATATATGATTATTAACAACGGTCGAGGACAACGATTTTTAACAGCATCTATGGTACTGAACGCATCAGTGCATGCAATTAAGTTCCTTATTGATATGTGAAATTATAATTGTGATGTGTTTCAATATAGTAGACTTGAATTATTTCCCTTCAAATTATATTTGTAAAGGTCTAGTTTGTTTTTATATCTCTAAAAATAGATATGATTTTGTAATCTTTTATTTAATATAATAACATTTTATTATGGTTGATTTTATTTTTGTATAGTTTTGCTGTACAGGCACTGATGCTCTTTCCGAGGTGTTTTTTTTCGTCATCTTTCGTTCTTTCTTTCTGTTTGGTTCTCTCTGATCAGTTGGTGTACAGAAGTTGTTCAGTAGTGTGAATGAACATATTACTCAGTGAAAAGCAACATTCAGGCTGCCAAAGCATGATGATCGCATGGTTTATTCAAATGTAAACTAATTGGACACGAGGAAAATTCAGTGTCTCACTTTGAAGAGGAAAACTATATTATCATTATGATTCTTGATGATCTTATTATTCTTACAATTAAGCTTACAGTTCTTTAATTTCCACTGGTTTCTGATCCTTGTCTGGTCCAGACGTGGTTTATTTCAAAGAAGGAATTTTATGGATTTGTGACTATTTTTCTTGTAATTGTCTCTGGAACTAAGTTTTCGCATTTGACTTCCTAAATGAAAACACATATTGTAAGCATGCCCTATGGGACAAATCACTTTTTTTACTCTTGAATAAAATATGCATGAACTAATAATGTCTTTCCCCTTTCGATCCTGGACTGAAAATTTGCTTGTAAAATAATTTTTCTCTTTAAAGAACAGTAAACTGATTATTCAACAGCTGCTTAATTAATAATCAAGAATGAAAATGCTATTTTTAATGTAACATTAATGTGAAGAAATGCAAAGACCACAGTTTGTATAAGGTTTTTATTAGGAACTTCTAAGTTTCAAAGGCTCAATCAATGAGGGCTTTTTTCCATGAGGGCATCCCACCTGTTTCCTGCTATTCTTCCACAGGAAGCTCGGGGCCGCGGGCCCCTTCTCCCTCAAACCAGAGCTTGGCGCCCACTGACACACACCCAAACACACGCTTCTCAGCAGGGCGTTGTAATACTATGTGCACTCCCTCGTGTGTTACTATTATATCCAACAGGAAACAGATTTGGACATACTGGTTAATGCTTCAACCAAACTCACTCGCTCAAGAATATTTCCATAGTTGTTCGGCTTTGTTTTTCATATTTTACACATACATAAGTACTGTAAATATTTCCTGATATCTGGGATATATACGACCGGTCCTGTGTAGGTGGATGAGAGTAAAACCCATTTGGATTGAGACATGGAGCAGCTCTTTTTTCTTCTCATTCCCTTGTTTGCATCTTCATCCATAATCTCAGCAGGTAAGTCAATCAGAAGCCAATTTTATATATACAGTACATGGTAAAAAAACAAGGAAATTGGGAAAAGTGTAAAACAGTATGTGGGCAAAGGGGGGGGGTCAAAGTTTAAAATGTTTTCTGGCATAAACTGCAGTAGTCACTGACTATGTATGGTGGCCCCCAAAAGTCTGCCTTTAGTGCCCAAATACTTTTTGTGGCCATTTAATATATACAGTATATCTTTTCATGAAATGTATGTTCTCTATGCAATTTGCACAGGAAATGACCCAAACATACCAACTACAGTACCTCCAAACACAACTGCTATATCTATCATATTGTGTATAATTCTCATATCTAAACAAGAATTTCCCATATTTAGGATGATTTGAACAACTGATAACTGTCATTTTACCACTGTTAAGATGATATTAATAGGTAATTGTCCAACATGTTTTCTTAAATGTATCTGTAACAGTGTAACTTTATTTGTCATTAATTAGTCATGAACCAATAAATGTAATTCTTCCTTTAGCATATATAGTGTTTATTTATTTATATTTATTTAATATGTGAAGAGAAATCAACTTAATGTAAATGGATCTGTCTTTTTTTATTATTATTTTAGAAGTCCAAACTGAAAAAACTGTGACTTACACTTTGTCATCTCATTATGAGAATGGCATGACCAGTCACACCTCAAAAACTGTGAGCACAACCACAGCTCCTGTATCTTCTAGCCACACAGGTAAGGCACAACTATAACTTCAGTTGATGTAAATATACTGTGTAGTAAACATACAATAATGTAACCTCTGTTTGCTCAGGCAGTACTGATGGATCCAGCCTCTCTTCGCATACCACATCAGGTTGTAATTATTACTTCCCACTGGTAAAAGAATAGTTCACCCAAAAATAAAAAATTGCTGAAATGTACTCATCCTCACGCCATCCAAGATGTAGATGATTTTGTTTCTTCATTAGGCCAGATTTTTAAAAAATGAGGATTGCATCACTTGCTCACCAGTGGATCCTCTGCAGTGAATAGGTGCCGTCAGAATGAGAGTCCAAACAGCTGATAAAACCTCACAATAATCCACAAGTAATCCACATTAAGTGAAAAGCTATAAAAAAAAAATATTGATAATAAAATTTATCTGTGAGTCTTCATGAGTTCTTCATTGCTTTCTCCAGTGAACAAGTTATCTCATCTGAATCAGGGATATGCCCAATCTAGCACCATTTCCAAGTTAAAACAGTTCTTAACAATTATGTCGGTGGATCTTTATGTGAGAGGATAACACAGGAGGGTGCATTATTATGGATTACAGACTGGCATTTTAGCCAGAAGCAATGGTTTAAAGTTAAAGCTCCTTAATGATAGATTTGTTTCTTATAAACATGCAGCTTTTCACTAGACATTAATTGATGGACTGGAGTCGTGTGAATTATTGTGATGTTTTTATCAGCTGTTTGAACTCTCATTCTGACGGCACCCATTCACTTCAGAGGATCGATTGGCGAGAAAGTTATGTAATGCTAAATTTCTCCCAAGTCTGTTCCGAAAAAAAAAAAAAAAAAACGAATCTAAATCTTTTATGGTCTAAGGGTGTCACGTTATGCTAGTGATGTTACATATGACACTGAAGCTTCAGTGTCAAAACCTCAGATCTTACTTTACGAGTACCAATCTAGCACCATTTCCAAGTTAAAACAGTTCTTAACAATTATGTCGGTGGATCTTTATGTGAGAGGATAACACAGGAGGGTGCATTATTATGGATTACAGACTGGCATTTTAGCCAGAAGCAATGGTTTAAAGTTAAAGCTCCTTAATGATGGATTTGTTTCTTATAAACATGCAGCTTTTCACTAGACATTAATTGATGGACTGGAGTCGTGTGAATTATTGTGATGTTTTTATCAGCTGTTTGAACTCTCATTCTGACGGCACCCATTCACTTCAGAGGATCGATTGGCGAGAAAGTTATGTAATGCTAAATTTCTCCCAAGTCTGTTCCGATAAAAAAAAAAAAAAAACGAATCTAAATCTTTTATGGTCTAAGGGTGTCACGTTATGCTAGTGAAGCTTCAGTGTCAAAACCTCAGATCTTACTTTACGAGTAAGTTTTCATTCAGACTTATTCAATTACATTTTTAAATAACCAGCCATACAAGTCATATGAATAACAAAAACAATTTCAGAAAAAAATATATATTTGGCATATGCAATATGTGTACATTATTCTTCTATTACGTCATATTGATATTGGCATTTAATGTCACAGTTTAATGGGTAAATTATTTTATCAAAGAGAGAATTTTAACACACACACACACTATTTTCACAAGCTTTTGGCTGCTATATTTTTTATTTTTGACACTCGCAAAGCTTTTTAATATTTTCCCGAAACAGTCAGAGGAAAGCCTCAGTGCTTCATGAGGCTTAATTTGCCCATCACTACTACGTTACGCTGCTGTGGGAAGAACGTAGGAGACACAGAGTAGCAGTCATAGTCTTTAATGATGAAAACACGGGATAAGCCACAATAGGCGCTGGACAAACACACATAGAAACAAGCAGAGCTGGACAAACACAAACTGAACAGACTAGGACTTTTATACAGGGGATGATTGGGGAACACAGGTGACACCAATGGAACATAATCAAACTAAACGAGAACAGGAACATGACCAAATAAGGCAAAATAGGAACAGAAACACATGACAAAACAGGTCCAATCCTGACAAAGGGTGAGTACATTTTCATTTTTGGGTTAACTATTCCTTTAATTAAAATATTCATTATATACAGTGGGAGAATATATTGGGGGGAGACTTTGCAATTTCTTTACTTCGACTGTAAGTTGATGGTTTATCTTGCTTGTCTCTACTAAGTTAAATTCTGAAATGCGAAGGTGACACAATAAAAGTTATTTTGTGTTATAAAATTGTGTATTACAGGACAGTCCATCATCACCAGCTCCACGTTAACCACACTAAAATCCTACACTGACACAACTTTAAATTCCACCTCATCCCCAGCGGCCAAAATAACAGGTTTTAACTCCTTCTTCTGGCTTTCCCCTCCAAAACTCTTATTTGCTAAAATATGAACAGTAAGTATCATTATAAATGTAAATGGACAAGATATAATTCATTCAAGAATGTCCTGATTCATAGCTGAGTTTTGGGGATCAAAACCAGTGGAAGTGGATGACAGAAATGTAACCTGTACCTCTGTTTGCTCAGGCAGTACTGATGGATCCGGCCTCTCTTCACATAACACATCAGGTAATAATTATTAACTGCTAATAAATAATCCATAAATAATAATAATTCACCCAAAAATGAAAATTAGCTGAAATGTACACACCCTCAGGTCATCCAAGATGTAGATGAGTTTGTATATTTGTATATCTCAAATAGTATTTGAAGATCATTTTGAGCTGTATGTTGAAGAACTGGTCATGCTGTGCAGTACAGTCAAGCATTTATCATTTAAGACTACATTATTATGTCACGTGTTTGCTCCATGTGCAGTGGGTGTTTCTCTGCTTCCAAAGACTTCAGCAACCGCTAATTCAAACATCAGCATGTCAGAGGTGACTGCAACACCTTCACAGGCACCAGACAGCGGTCTCACTTTGCTCGCCTTTGGTAGGTTTTATACCGATATAATCTCATGAAACACATTACTTCTAGTGCTAAAATATTTTCTGCAATTACAGGTGTGATGAGTCTTATACTCATTTTAATTGTTGTCATGGTGGTCTTGGTGACCGCTATCAACCTCAGGGGACGGTGTAGAAATACTAAACAGCATGAGGGTGGGTTTCTCTCTAATTCTGTCATTTTCAAGATTACCTTTAAAAGCACACATGGCTATAAATGTGCAATATAATTGATCTGTCTTGTTTTGTGGGTTTTCTTTTTTTATTTATAGGTATTAAAAGCTGTGATTTTGTGGTGTCTGACAGGTGAGGACTAATAAATTAGTAAATTTACATGACTGTGAATGTGTGGTTATCGTCATTGTCTGTTTTAGGTATATACTATAATAAAATAATATAAGAAGAAGAAAAAAATGAAATATGAAAACTAAAAAAGCATGCAAGTACCAGTTAATGATATCAATATAGCCTACTGTAATAATGGGACATAAAAAATTACAAAAAAAATGTTTTAATGTATTTACTAAAATATAATATTATGTAATACATTTAAATAACAGATCTGTTGAAAGTTAACTTAAGATAAAAAACATTTTTGATCCAGCAGCATGACCAGCTACTGTGAGAAAGAGAGCATCACTCTTGTCTCTGTGAGGACAATAAACACAGAAAACAGTAAGTACATGCTTTCCTTAGTGTTTTGTGACTGATACAGAGAGAATAGCATCCCATTTTATGTTATTTTAACATATGAAACTGTAAATGTCCTTCTGTAAGACTTCACTTCTCTTCTGTGCAGATACAGATTCTCCCCAGATGTCTTCAGTTCGTAGCACTATAGTGGATAATGATGACCAAGAATTTACCAGAGACCTGCTGGGCATCAAAGATGGACTGTGATTTTACTCAGTTCGTAGTGCACGAGATTGGAGGCTGCATACTCTATTTATACTATTAAATGAATGTGAATTAATGTGCCTTTAGCTAATGGTCAGTGTACAGACCACACATCATGTTTATGACATGCATTGATGCACTCACTGCATTTAAAATATCTCATGCTCTCATATATTAAACATGACACATGCTTCATTGATAAATAAAATGTCACTTTTGTGTTCATAAAAAAGTGCATTAGTGTGTAATGTCATGTATTTGTAAAGTGAAATATGGAATGTAAGGTTTTGAGTCAAGTCCCATTTCACAAATTTGTTTTTTTTTTCTGTAGAGGCCACATTTGACGTGATATATTTGTGTCATTGTCCTGATGACCCTGTCAGACTTTTATTTTGAGGTAAAGACTGTACATTAGTGGTTTTCACTTTTTGGTCCTGGTCTACACACCTGATTCAGTTCATCAACTGATTTGGCAAGAGCTCCATGAACCAAGAGAGACATACAAAATGCACTTTGAGTCCACAACTGCAAACCACTGCTGTACATTATACCTTATAATTCTTGAAATAATTGGTATTTCCATCAGGCATTAGAAAAGCTTAGAAATGGCTGAGTGCAATTATACACAGCATATCTGACCTTCTGTACTGACCTGGCTTTACATACCTGAGGTTATTACTCAACACACTCTTGACTGGTAAAGTGAGAAATGTAAACCAGATTAATGTCCAGATCATCATAATGTTTTCCTGATCAAACAAAACATGTTTATTTTCACAAACATTGTGCTTTAATGTGGCATAATGGTGTACTATATTTATGGAGGAATCACACCAGTGACAGGAAACACTGGGGCTGTAAGAGGATCTTCTGTTCTGATGCAGTCAAGACAGAAACCACTAGGGCCAGAGCAGCTTTAGCAGGAACCTCTGGGACCAGGGAGGTTGAGAGAGGAGCTCTGGGACTGGAGCAGCTTTCGCTCTGGCTGAGGTTATGACAAGAAAGATTGAGGCTGTTTGGCTGGAGGTTAATCTCATTAATCTCAACACCATCATGGGAAGAACCTTCATGGCACACATGACGGTAAGCTTTCCAACTTCAGCTGTTATGAGACAGAGCTCTGAAACCATTGCAGGTTTTGTGGTTGCAGCAGCAGAAACCTTCAAGCCTGGACAAGAAGCTGTGGGACCAGGGCAGCTCTGAAAGGGTACCATGTCAAGTAACCTCTGCGGTGCCTTTGATTTGGTTCTCTCTGACCTCTGCAGGTTCTGGAACAGCAGTGTCAGGAACCTTTATTGAGGTCTTCAGAGTTATTTCTGAAGCAGCCCTGACAGGATCATTGGGCCCAAGGTGGCTGAGAAACTGAGCTCTGTCACCATGTGAGTGGCAGGAACCTCTATGGCAGCAGTGCCAGGAATTTGTGGGACAGGTTTGATGGGGAGCTCTGGGAAGCTCTAGGTGACTCCATTTTTAGAAATATGTTTGGATGGTGAAGTACTTAACTAACTAAAATTAAATTAACTATTTACAATTCACATCCCTAGGCGAGTAGTTCCACAAGATCCTAAAACTGCTGCCTCAAGCCAAGGCGCCAGACGCTACCAAGGCCTGCCAGCCCCGCAAGACACTAAGACTGGAGGGATGGAGGGGTCACCCGTGTCAGCCCACCAGACACAAAGCTGACCCTGTCCTCCATGACTTACAGGGGGACCTGAAACACAATTACGAATTATACAATTACAACTTGTACAAATTAGACAAACCGATTTCATAAGATATAAAAATACAGCTTTTTGTCTATGCAATGTATGAGTATTGACTATATGCAGTGGTGTAGTGGAGGGGATACGCAGGTATATGGCGTATACCCACTTCAAATATTCCCTAAAAACACCCAGTAAAGACAGTGATGCACTCAGGACCGTGGCGCTGGCTTCCTTTGAAATAAGTTTGATGATTGCGCCTGCACCCTCGCCCGCTCCGTCAGTCAGAGAGGATGCCGACTGCCGACAGTGACAGAGATGCTGCTTCTTCATGTCAGGGGATGCGCGCAGAGTGGTAAAATAATAGTTAATTATTGATTACTAATTTGAATCAGTACATTACAATGAAAACAATAGCTTAAAAACCGGTAAACTTCTGTAAACTTTTCGGTCCAAGGATCCAGTAAACAAAAGCGTTCAAACAGTAAATTCAAAACGGCTCTAATACAGAGAAAACCCAACCGATTTCATCAGAGATTGTGGAGAGTCGAGTCCAGATGTCAGTAAATTATAATTTTCAGCGTGTATTTGGTTTAAAAGCACGAGTGTTATACTGGATGGTGACTGAATGTGTTTTAGATTATGCGCTGGTCTAGTTATTCTGAATGGATCGTAGAGTAGCATGTACAGCATATGAGACAGCAGGTTTAGTGGTCTTTTGGCGTCTCCTTGTGGTCTTATTTGATATCGCAGCTTGACTGGTGCTTATTTATATTAAAAAGGTGGTGGGGATGGGGGGATAAATTCTGGATAAATTGATAGTCACAACATAATTCTCATACGAACAGACAACTAAACAAAATAGCGTGTAATGTACTAGAGGTTCTGACAAAATCTGCACCTCTTCTGTGGCAAATTTTAATTTCATAATGATTCTTACTCCGTGAAGTCAAGCAGCAGAAGTTAAGCGACAATATACAAATACTACTGGCCCATTTTGGGGTGAACTAAATATACAAGACTAATTTTACACGTCACTGTATATAACACATGTCATGGGGCATAAATTAAGAGTATACCCACTTCTCCAGGCACCATATGAGTTACTGCAGGTATTGAACGTTAGCTGATGTCCATATTAAAATAATCAAACTATACCATCAAAAACTAAACAAACACTATATCTTTAAAATAATTTTAGCTTGTCTTTGAAACAGTACTTTAAACCGGTCATGGAAGAGCATCTCCTCTAAATGAAGCCTCTTCCCCGGGTCGCTCTTCAGACATCCTCGGATAAAACGGCAGCTCTCTATGCAGAAAATAGAGAGATATCTGACTGTTACCTTTAACTTTACACTTTCTAAGCTGTTAAATGAGAAATAGTCCTGGATTATCCATAATTTATTGTCTTTTATAAAGCCGTTTTGTCTAATTCTAAATTGTTGAAATGAAGATCTCACCATGGGAGAAGCCTGGCTGGGACCAGATATCAGTGTCCATCAGACTGATATCGCTGCTCTCGGGGAAAAGGCTGGTGATCATGTGGAACAGGAGCACTCCCAGTGACCACACGGTTGCCTGTTTCCCATTGTACTCGCCCCTCTCAAAATATTCTGGAGGGCAGTACCTCGCTGTCCCTGGAGGAAAGAGTTTGTCACATGTCTAAATGTGTTCTTTACCACTGCATGTTTTCTCTGATTGCATTTAATATTAGTCAATAAAAATGGCTTTTCTTCTGAGAATGTTGTTGGTTCATTCACTAGAGTTCAAGTCCCAAACTACATGTTTGAAAAATAATACATACCACTGTAGGTTTTGTACAATGTGCTTTTCAGGAGGTCCCCACAGCCGAAATCAATCAGCTTCACCTCCAGGGTCTCTATGTTGACCAGGAGGTTTGGCATCTTGATATCACGATGGAGGACCCCCCAGGAACAGCACACGGCAGCAGGGTCGATAACCTGCTGCATGAAATGATGGGCCATCCCCTCACTGAAGAGGCCGTCATAATGCAGCCAAAAATCGTGCATTTCCCTCCAGGATGAGGGCTGCTCTAGGACCATGATGTACTGGTCAAGATGGTCCTGCCAGTCCAGTAACTCTGCTTTTGTCGGAGGAGCAAGAGAGGGAGCTTGTAAACATGGTCATTGACAATAATGTAATCCGCCTGCGAGAGATTCAAAGGAGAGTGATTGAGGATAATCATCATTTTCGAGGGTTAAATGCCATCAGCCTCTCCACAACGTCTGGATGAAACAGGTGTACAGCGTCGCTTTCAAACGAAACTCTGACAGAGTGAAAGATTAACGAGTGGAATATGTTCAGGTATGAGTTTTGATATCATATGAAGTATTGTGTACCATCACAGTATAGCAGTTTATGCTGCCATTTGTGCCCTCTTGAACTGTGCTTCAGGGCAGTGATTTACTCTACTGTGTTTCATGTGTTTTGCAGAGAATCTTTGAGATTGAAGGCCGGCCTGTTCCCCATGAAATTATCTTTGTGGATGAGGCTGGTTTCAACCTGACCAAAAGTAGAAGGGTGAGAAACATAATTGGCTATCGGGTAAATCTCCCTGGTCAGCGCGGAGGGAATGTCGCTATGTGTGCAGCCATCAGCCAACGAGGGGTACTCCACCGTCATGCCATTCTAGGACCCTATAACACTATGCTTCTCCTTGCTTTCCTTGACGGTCTAAGAGAGCATATGTTCCAGCTGGACCTCAGGGAACCAGCACAGCCAGAGCAGCCTTGTTACATTGTTGTTTGGGATAATGTCAGCTTCCATCGCACTGCTCTGGTTCGTGACTGGTTTACCAATAACCCGAGTCTAACATCTTTCTGCCTGCATACTTTCCCTTTCTAAACCCGATAGAGGAGTTTTTTCGGCATGGCAGTAGAAAGTGTATGACTGAGAACTTATATCCGTGCTCACCTCCTCCAGGCCATGGAAGAAGCCTGCATAGACATATCAGTAGATGCATGCCAGGGGTGGATCAGGCATGCA